GAGGAGGAGGATGTTGTTGAGGAAGTGGTTATACTGCTGGGGGTTGTGGGTGTCATGCTGTAGAGTTCCACTGCCCCCTAGTGGCTGGCAGGAGAACTACATTGTTTTCCATCGTTGTGTATATGCTGTGCACTTCAAAGACTGGGCCTGGCTGTAGATCCAGGACTGCGGCTGTAGATCCAGGACTGAGGCTGTAGATCCAGGACTGAGGCTGTAGATCCAGGACTGAGGCTGTAGACCCAGGACCGAGGCTGTAGATCCAGGACTGAGGCTGTAGATCCAGGACTGAGGCTGTAGATCCAGGACTGAGGCTGTAGATCCAGGACCGAGGCTGTAGATCCAGGACCGAGGCTGTAGATCCAGGACTGACCCAGGACTGAGGCTGTAGACCCAGGACTGACCCAGGACTGAGGCTGTAGACCCAGGACTGAGACTGTAGACCCAGGACCGAGACTGTAGATCCAGGACTGAGACTGTAGATCCCAGACCGAGGCGGTAGATCCAGGACTGACCCAGGACCGAGGCTGTAGATCCAGGACTGACCCAGGACTGAGGCTGTAGACCCAGGACCGAGACTGTAGACCCAGGACCGAGACTGTAGACCCAGGACCGAGACTGTAGATCCCAGATTGAGACTGTAGATCCCAGACCGAGGCGGTAGATTCAGGACTGACCCAGGACCGAGGCTGTAGACCCAGGACCGAGACTGTAGACCCAGGACCGAGACTGTAGACCCAGGACCGAGACTGTAGATCCAGTCCTGTCTCCTCTTTCACCACAGAGCTCTAAAACCTGCTGAAGTTATTGAGGAGTCAAAGTGACTGTTGTTGGATCAGAACTGACCACAAAGTGTTTTTAAACGCCTCTTATGTAACAAAGATGTGGAATAGTGATCATGGCTGAAGTTGAGGCTCCCAAAACACTCATACATTTAAGACTATTACTGTTTTTAAACATGGAACATTACTGACCTCCATTAAAAAGAAAAAAAATCCACTGTTCGCCGGCTTGTCTGCGGTCTGAGCGGAGCCTGCTGGGCCTCGGAGGTGACCGTGTTTCCCATCGTTAACGTCACATTTAAATGAGTTACATGAGTACATTGGTCCCCCACTAAAACATGGTTCATCTTTCAAGGTCTCTTTCTGATCTCCTCCTGGTTTCCCCCTCTCTGATCTCTTTCTCTGATCTCTTTCTCTGATCTCTTTCTCTGGTCTCTCTCTGGTCTCTCTCTGATATATCTCTGGTCTCTCTCTGGTCTCTCTCTGGTCTCTCTCTGGTCTCTCTCTGGTCTCTCTCTGGTCTCTCTCTGGTCTCTCTCTGGTCTCTCTCTGGTCTCTCTCTGGTCTCTCTCTGATATATCTCTGGTCTCTCTTTCTGGTCTCTCTCTGGTCTCTCTGGTCTCTATCTGGTCTCTCTCTGGTCTCTTTCTCTGGTCTCTGTCTGGTCTCTGTTCTCTCTCTGGTCTCTCTCTGGTCTCTGTCTGGTCTCTCTCTGTTCTCTCTCTGTTCTCTCTCTGGTCTCTCTTTCTGGTCTCTCTCTGGTCTCTCTGTTCTCTCTCTGTTCTCTCTCTGGTCTCTCTCTGGTCTCTTTCTCTGGTCTCTGTCTGGTCTCTGTTCTCTCTCTGGTCTCTCTCTGGTCTCTGTCTGGTCTCTCTCTGTTCTCTCTCTGTTCTCTCTCTGTTCTCTCTCTGGTCTCTCTCTGGTCTCTCTTTCTGGTCTCTCTCTGGTCTCTCTGTTCTCTTTCTGGTCTCTCTCTGGTCTCTATCTGGTCTCTCTCTGGTCTCTCTCTCTGGTCTCTCTCTGGTGTCTCTGGTCTCTTTCTGGTCTCTCTCTCTCTCTGTAAAAACAGCTGTAGCTGTAGAACCGTTCAAAGGTATGTCTGTTGTTATCCGTAGTTTCTCTCTCCTGGTGTTTCTTCTCCTCCTCCTCCTCCTCCTCCTCCTCCTCCTCCTCCTCTTCCTCTTCAGTCTGTGTGGTGTTTGATTTGGCAGTGTTCATTGTTAAAGTGTAGCTGCTGTTTCTTGCATGTTTCCAGTTCCAGAATGTTCTGTTTTTGATGTTGATGAGTCAGCATTCTCCCCACTTCAAAATAAACGTATATAAAATATATAAAAATATATAAAAATAACATGTATTATCAGTTAAAGACGGACACCTAATATCACCATAACCATAATTCAATAAATACATATATTCAAAACGGTTAAACTTTAATAACCCTCAAAACTGTTACTTTTTCTGACTAGTTTTCACATTTATTTATTTTGTCACATCTTTAGCTTTTTCTCATCTCTCTAGTCTCTATCTCTCCTTGGTCTCTCTCTGGTCTCTCTGTAGTTTCTCTGTGGTCTCTCGCTGGTCTGTTGCTGGTCTCTCTCTGGTCTTTCTCTTCCACAGCTCTGTCCTCATATCTGTGTCTGAATCTGTACAAAGGAGAAAGTGTGTCTGAATGAAGCCGCTGTTGTCTTGCGTCTGTGAGTAGTAGTAGCAGGAGCGGCAGCAGTAGCAGTAGTAGCAGCAGTAGTAGCAGCAGCAGTAGTAGTAGCAGCAGCAGTAGTAGTAGCAGCAGCAGTAGTATCAGTAGTAGCAGCAGTAGTAGCAGCAGCAGTAGTAGCAGTAGTCTCCTTTGTCTGCACTTGTGCCTCTGACTCATAGTGATACATAGTTCACCTCAGCTTCATGTCTCGTCATGTTCCTCTCTCTGGTCTCTCTCTTTGTGGTCCCTCTCTCTAGTTTCTCTCTCTGGTCTATGTGTCTCTCTCTCTGGGTAGATATTAACCTGATTTTAAACAGTTTTTAACCTGTTTTCTCTCATTAGTTTCTATCAGAGGTTATGTGTGACATCATAGGAGCTGTATTATTATTGTTATTGTTATTAGTCCTTCATATGGACTTTTCTACAGTTCTCTGGGTCCACCAGCAGAGGGCAGCAGCAGCTCTGTGCTATTACCCAGATGTGGGGAAGCTGTGGTCTGTAGTTTCAGACTGTGGCATTTAAAGTTTTAAATGTGATTTTCTGTCAGCACTTATTTAGCACAATATCCACTGTTTTTGTTTGATGCTCAGATTTGATTATATTTATGTATTTTGTATAATGTGGATATTTTCTGTATATATGAAGAGGGGCTGGTCTCTCTCTGGTCTCTATCTGGTCTCTCTTTCTGGTCTCTCGTCTCTTTTTCTTGGGTCTCCCTCTGGTCTCTCTCCATTTCTCTGGTCTCTCTCTATTTCTTGGGTCTGCCTCTGGTCTTCTCTCTATTTCTCAAGTCTCTCTAGTCTCTCTCTCTTGTTCTTGGTTCTCTCTCTAGTCCCTCTTTTTTTCTTGGGTCTCCCTCTGGTCTCTCTCCATTTCTCTGGTCTCTCTCTATTTCTTGGGTCTGCCTCTGGTCTCTCTCTATTTCTCAAGTCTCTCTAGTCTCTCTTTTTTTCTTGGGTCTCTGGTCTCTCTCCATTTCTCTGGTCTCTCTCTATTTCTTGGGTCTGCCTCTGGTCTTCTCTCTATTTCTCAAGTCTCTCTAGTCTCTCTCTCTTGTTCTTGGTTCTCTCTCTAGTCCCTCTTTTTTTCTTGGGTCTCCCTCTGGTCTCTCTCCATTTCTCTGGTATCTCTCTATTTCTTGGGTCTCTCTCTGGTCTCTCTGTTTCTCGGGTCTCTCTGGTCTCTATTTCTAGGGTCTCTCTATTTCTCGGGTCTCTCTGGTCTCTCTATTTCTAGGGTCTCTCTCTGGTCTCTATATTTCTCTGGTCTCTCTGGTCTCTCTATTTCTAGGATCTCTATTTCTGGGGTCTCTCTCTGTTCTCTGTTTCTCGGGTCTCTCTGTTTTCTCTGTTTCTCGGGTCTCTCTCTGGTCTCTCACATTCATTGTCTATGACCTTTGTCTTATCATTAGCTCCGCTTTTTCAGACGAGCTCTGTCTGATCTGTCTCATGAATTATATCATTATCGTGATATCGTCCTGGCCTAACATAGGAACACTAAACTGGTCTGTGGTCTAGTTTTAGCTTTAGCCCTGTTCACAGACAGAAGCCTCTCCTCCTCTCTCGGTCCCTTGTGTATGTCTGCAGCAGCTCTTCTCTCTGACAGCTGTGATGATACGGGTCTATTTTAGTCTGAGGATGGATACATGTGTGAAACTGTACGTCAGCGCTCCGCCTGCTGTCGCTCTAAACAATGAGCTCTCTCCCCGTTGGTTCTGTGGTTTCATGACTCTTGAGCTCACAGGTTTCTGGTTTAAAACAACGACTTTTCATATTTTAATCAGAGACGAGTGATTTTAACTCCATCCATTCATTTCCTCTGACGATCTGGTCCTTCAGGTCATTCCCCAAAGCTCAGCACTTTCTCTGGTCTTTCTGGTCTCTCTCCGTTCTCGTTCTCTGGTCTCTCTTTTTTGTTTCTCTCACTGCTCTCTCGTTCTGGTCCCTCTCTCTGGTATCTCTATGGTATCTCTGTGGTCTCTCTCTGGTCTCTCTCTTTTGTTTCTCTTACTGCTCTCTCGTTCTGGTCCCTCTCTCTACTCTCTGCACTCTCTCTCTCTGGGCTCTCGTCTGGTTTCTCTTCATGCTCTCTCTCTCTCTCTCTTCTCTCTCTCACTGGTCTCTTTTTCTCTCTGGTCTCTCTCTCTCTCTGGTCTCTCTCTGGTCTCACTGCTCAGTTCCAACCTGAATGTTGCTTTTTCCGGGGGAATAAAATACTGCCTTATACATTGTTATTGTTGTATTGTAACCAACCCTACAATCAACAAAGACAACTTTTTTGACTGGATTCAGGCCGATCTGTGTTTGTACTGATTCATATCTGAGGACCCAGTAGATGTCACAATGGTGTTAGAGTTGTGCTTGGTCAATGATATAATGTCTCTGTCTCGACATTTGTTCTCAAAGCTATAAAAACTAGAAATATGACTTTGTTTATTTTTGATGAATAAATGTATCCACCTCACTGCAGGGTTTGACTCATTCATCCACCGCTGCATTTGAAATACTGTTTGTTTTGTGTTCCAGGACCTCCACACCATCTACAACCACCTGTACCGTATGGACGTCCTCACACACCTCCGGGAGCACCAGCTGAGGTCAGTGTCTGAGGCTGTAGACCCAGGACTGAGGCTGTAGACCCAGGACTGAGGCTGTAGACCCAGGACTGAGGCTGTAGACCCAGGACTGAGGCTGCAGACCCAGGACTGAGGCTGTAGACCCCAGGACTGAGGCTGTAGATCCAGGACTGAGGCTGCAAACCCAGGACTGAGGCTGCAGATCCAGGACTGAGGCTGCAGATCCAGGACTGAGGCTGCAGATCCAGGACTGAGGCTGCAGATCCAGGACTGAGGCTGTAGACCCAGGACTGCGGCTGTAGACCCAGGACTGAGGCTGTAGACCTAGACTGAGGCTGCAGACCCAGGACTGAGGCTGGAGACCCAGGACTGAGGCTGTATATGGTCTCTGGATTTGACAAAATTCTTTTTTTCCTCAGGTCGATGTGCACTTCCATCCGATACGAGAGACATGAGGCTAACCACATCCTGTTCTAGTGAGTGACCTCTTTCTCGATGTCTCTGATTGGTCTGTTTTGGTCCTGGATCTCTCTGATTGGTCTGTTTTGGTCCTGGATCTCTCTGATTGGTCTGTTTGTTTTGCAGCCCGGACTCGATCGCCTCCTGCTGGTACATCCTCCTCACTGGTTCCGTCTTCGTCCAGGAGCATATGTACCTGGCGCGCTGCTGGTTCGTACTTCTGTCTTCTCTGTGTCTCACTGCTGTGTTGATCTGGGACAACTGTGGGAAAGGATGGAGTGTTGTTTGGACCCGTGCCGGCTTTTCACAACAGAGTGCGGGTGGAGAGGAGACCAGAGTGCGGGTAGAGAGGAGACCAGAGTGCGGGTAGAGAGGAGACCAGAGTGCGGGTAGAGAGGAGACCAGAGTGCGGGTAGAGAGGAGACCAGAGTGCGGGTAGAGAGGAGACCAGAGTGCGGGTAGAGAGGAGACCAGAGTGCGGGTAGAGAGGAGACCAGAGTGCGGGTAGAGAGGAGACCAGAGTGCGGGTAGAGAGGAGACCAGAGTGCGGGTAGAGAGGAGACCAGAGTGCGTGTAGAGAGGAGACCAGAGTGCGGGTAGAGAGGAGAGAGACCAGAGTGCGGGTAGAGAGGAGAGAGACCAGAGTGCGGGTAGAGAGGAGAGAGACCAGAGTGCGGGTAGAGAGGAGAGAGACCAGAGTGCGGGTAGAGAGGAGAGAGACCAGAGTGCGGGTAGAGAGGAGAGAGACCAGAGTGCGGGTAGAGAGGAGAGAGACCAGAGTGCGGGTAGAGAGGAGAGAGACCAGAGTGCGGGTAGAGAGGAGAGAGACCAGAGTGCGGGTAGAGAGGAGAGAGACCAGAGTGCGGGTAGAGAGGAGAGAGACCAGAGTGCGGGTAGAGAGGAGAGAGACCAGAGTGCGGGTAGAGAGGAGAGAGACCAGAGTGCGGGTAGAGAGGAGAGAGACCAGAGTGCGGGTAGAGAGGAGAGAGACCAGAGTGCGGGTAGAGAGGAGAGAGACCAGAGTGCGGGTAGAGAGGAGAGAGACCAGAGTGCGGGTAGAGAGGAGAGAGACCAGAGTGCGGGTAGAGAGGAGAGAGACCAGAGTGCGGGTAGAGAGGAGAGAGACCAGAGTGCGGGTAGAGAGGAGAGAGACCAGAGTGCGGGTAGAGAGGAGAGAGACCAGAGTGCGGGTAGAGAGGAGAGAGACCAGAGTGCGGGTAGAGAGGAGAGAGACCAGAGTGCGGGTAGAGAGGAGAGAGACCAGAGTGCGGGTAGAGAGGAGAGAGACCAGAGTGCGGGTAGAGAGGAGAGAGACCAGAGTGCGGGTAGAGAGGAGAGAGACCAGAGTGCGGGTAGAGAGGAGAGAGACCAGAGTGCGGGTAGAGAGGAGAGAGACCAGAGTGCGGGTAGAGAGGAGAGAGACCAGAGTGCGGGTAGAGAGGAGAGAGACCAGAGTGCGGGTAGAGAGGAGAGAGACCAGAGTGCGGGTAGAGAGGAGAGAGACCAGAGTGCGGGTAGAGAGGAGAGAGACCAGAGTGCGGGTAGAGAGGAGAGAGACCAGAGTGCGGGTAGAGAGGAGAGAGACCAGAGTGCGGGTAGAGAGGAGAGAGACCAGAGTGCGGGTAGAGAGGAGAGAGACCAGAGTGCGGGTAGAGAGGAGAGAGACCAGAGTGCGGGTAGAGAGGAGAGAGACCAGAGTGCGGGTAGAGAGGAGAGAGACCAGAGTGCGGGTAGAGAGGAGAGAGACCAGAGTGCGGGTAGAGAGGAGAGAGACCAGAGTGCGGGTAGAGAGGAGAGAGACCAGAGTGCGGGTAGAGAGGAGAGAGACCAGAGTGCGGGTAGAGAGGAGAGAGACCAGAGTGCGGGTAGAGAGGAGAGAGACCAGAGTGCGGGTAGAGAGGAGAGAGACCAGAGTGCGGGTAGAGAGGAGAGAGACCAGAGTGCGGGTAGAGAGGAGAGAGACCAGAGTGCGGGTAGAGAGGAGAGAGACCAGAGTGCGGGTAGAGAGGAGAGAGACCAGAGTGCGGGTAGAGAGGAGAGAGACCAGAGTGCGGGTAGAGAGGAGAGAGACCAGAGTGCGGGTAGAGAGGAGAGAGACCAGAGTGCGGGTAGAGAGGAGAGAGACCAGAGTGCGGGTAGAGAGGAGAGAGACCAGAGTGCGGGTGGAGAGGAGAGAGACCAGAGTGCGGGTGGAGAGGAGAGAGACCAGAGTGCGGGTGGAGAGGAGAGAGACCAGAGTGCGGGTGGAGAGGAGAGAGACCAGAGTGCGGGTGGAGAGGGAGAGAGAGAGACCAGAGTGCGGGTGGAGAGGAGAGAGACCAGAGTGCGGGTGGAGAGGAGAGAGACCAGAGTGCGGGTGGAGAGGAGAGAGACCAGAGTGCGGGTGGAGAGGAGAGAGACCAGAGTGCGGGTGGAGAGGAGAGAGACCAGAGTGCGGGTGGAGAGGAGAGAGACCAGAGTGCGGGTGGAGAGGAGAGAGACCAGAGGAGAGAGACCAGAGTGCGGGTGGAGAGGAGAGAGACCAGAGTGCGGGTAGAGAGGAGAGAGACCAGAGTGCGGGTAGAGAGGAGAGAGACCAGAGTGCGGGTAGAGAGGAGAGAGACCAGAGTGCGGGTAGAGAGGAGAGAGACCAGAGTGCGGGTAGAGAGGAGAGAGACCAGAGTGCGGGTAGAGAGGAGAGAGACCAGAGTGCGGGTAGAGAGGAGAGAGACCAGAGTGCGGGTAGAGAGGAGAGAGACCAGAGTGCGGGTAGAGAGGAGAGAGACCAGAGTGCGGGTAGAGAGGAGAGAGACCAGAGTGCGGGTAGAGAGGAGAGAGACCAGAGTGCGGGTAGAGAGGAGAGAGACCAGAGTGCGGGTAGAGAGGAGAGAGACCAGAGTGCGGGTAGAGAGGAGAGAGACCAGAGTGCGGGTAGAGAGAGACCAGAGAGAGAGAGACCAGAGTGCGGGTAGAGAGGAGAGAGACCAGAGTGCGGGTAGAGAGGAGAGAGACCAGAGTGCGGGTAGAGAGGAGAGAGACCGAGTGCGGGTAGAGAGAGACCAGAGTGCGGGTAGAGTAGAGTGCGGGAGAGAGGAGAGAGACCAGAGTGCGGGTAGAGAGGAGAGAGACCAGAGTGCGGGTAGAGAGGAGAGAGACCAGAGTGCGGGTAGAGAGGAGAGAGACCAGAGTGCGGGTAGAGAGGAGAGAGACCAGAGTGCGGGTAGAGAGGAGAGAGACCAGAGTGCGGGTAGAGAGGAGAGAGACCAGAGTGCGGGTAGAGAGGAGAGAGACCAGAGTGGGTAGGAGGAGAGAGACCGAGTGCGGGTAGAGAGGAGAGACCAGAGTGCGGGTAGAGAGGAGAGAGACCAGAGTGCGGGTAGAGAGGAGAGAGACCAGAGTGCGGGTAGAGAGGAGAGAGACCCAGAGTGCGGGTAGAGAGGAGAGAGACCCAGAGTGCGGGTAGAGAGAGAGAGACCAGAGTGCGGGTAGAGAGGAGAGAGACCAGAGTGCGGGTAGAGAGGAGAGAGACCAGAGTGCGGGTAGAGAGACCAGAGTGCGGGTAGAGAGAGACCAGAGTGCGGGTAGAGAGGAGAGAGACCAGAGTGCGGGTAGAGAGGAGAGAGACCAGAGTGCGGGTAGAGAGGAGAGAGACCAGAGTGCGGGTAGAGAGGAGAGAGACCAGAGTGCGGGTAGAGAGGAGAGAGACCAGAGTGCGGGTAGAGAGGAGAGAGACCAGAGTGCGGGTAGAGAGGAGAGAGACCAGAGTGCGGGTAGAGAGGAGAGAGACCAGAGTGCGGGGGTAGAGAGGAGAGAGACCAGAGTGCGGGTAGAGAGGAGAGAGACCAGAGTGCGGGTAGAGAGGAGAGAGACCAGAGTGCGGGTAGAGAGGAGAGAGACCAGAGTGCGGGTAGAGAGGAGAGAGACCAGAGTGCGGGTAGAGAGGAGAGAGACCAGAGTAGAGAGGAGAGAGACCAGAGTGCGGGTAGAGAGGAGAGAGACCACAGAGTGCGGGTAGAGAGAGAGAGAGACCACAGAGTGCGGGTAGAGAGAGAGAGAGACCACAGAGTGCGGGTAGAGAGAGAGAGACCAGAGTGCGGGTAGAGAGAGAGAGACCAGAGTGCGGGTAGAGAGGAGAGAGACCAGAGTGCGGGTAGAGAGGAGAGAGACCAGAGTGCGGGTAGAGAGGAGAGAGACCAGAGTGCGGGTAGAGAGAGAGAGACCAGAGTGCGGGTAGAGAGAGAGAGACCAGAGTGCGGGTAGAGAGAGAGAGACCAGAGTGCGGGTAGAGAGGAGACCAGAGTGCGGGTAGAGAGGAGAGAGACCAGAGTGCGGGTAGAGAGGAGAGAGACCAGAGTGCGGGTAGAGAGAGAGAGACCAGAGTGCGGGTAGAGAGAGAGAGACCAGAGTGCGGGTAGAGAGAGAGAGACCAGAGTGCGGGTAGAGAGGAGAGAGACCAGAGTGCGGGTAGAGAGGAGAGAGACCACAGAGTGCGGGTAGAGAGGAGAGAGACCACAGAGTGCGGGTAGAGAGGAGAGAGACCACAGAGTGCGGGTAGAGAGGAGAGAGACCACAGAGATAATCTGTTGTTTCCTCTGGTGTGTTGGAGGAACAGCTGATGAAGTTGTAAAAGTCTTCAGCAAAACAAAACAGCCTCTGAGCAACTGAGGAATTAGACGAGTGACGTGGGGGAAGTGGGCAGCAGGGGGGGTGAGGGGAGGGAGGAGGGGGTGAGGGGAGGGAGGAGGGGGTGAGGGGAGGGAGGAGGGGAGGGAGGAGGGGGTGAGGGGAGGGAGGAGGGGGTGAGGGGAGGGTCCAGGCAATGTGGAGAGAGTTCACACATACACACTGCAAAAAAAAGCCTGCCAAGTCTTTTGAATCGCAAAGTCAGGGATAGACATACTATTTTATTCAAAATTATGTTTCTCCAGTCCTCTGCTTCTCCAGGGTCTGTCGTTTAGCCTAGTCATGCTAGACCGGAGAGAGACCGGAGAGAGACCGGAGAGAGACCGGAGAGAGACCGGAGAGAGACCGGAGAGAGACCGGAGAGAGACCGGAGAGAGTGTGTGGCAGAGTCATGCTAGACCAGAGAGAGACCGGAGAGAGACCGGAGAGAGACCGGAGAGAGTGTGTGGCAGAGTCATGCTAGACCAGAGAGAGACCGGAGAGAGACCGGAGAGAGTGTGTGGCAGAGCTTTTTCCAATGTGGTTTTACTGCAAATGGCAAATAAATGAATCTGAGAGGCCGGAGAGAGACCAGAGAGAGAGGC